CCGTTCTAGTTTTTCTAAGTTATATTATGGAATTAATTATCTATGAATTTCACAGTTTATTTTAAAGTCGCCCAGAGCTTTGTAGATTTGGTAAATAGTTGCCAGATCTGTATTAGAAAGTTTGGAACTCTTAGCAGACTTACTTTTGAACTGTACCTCTTTTTTGTACCAAAAACTTTTCTTTTTTAGAATATGAATTCTTATGCTGAGTGTCATTAGGTTTGTTGACTTGTCAATATTTCAGCAATTTTAAGATTAATTTATCTATTAAATGCTTGATTCTGAAATTCGTAAATATCTTGATAATTCTGTTAGCAAAAATAATATTACAATGTTATAAAAAGGATGCCCGTATAATAAAAATATGTTTTAGAAAATGTTTTAAATTGTGTTTACCTTTGATTTTGATGATAGAAAAAGGAATATGAGTGGTGCTGATGCCATCCCAAATGCCAAAATATTGAATATTACCTTGCAAACATTTATCAAAACACCTTTATTTTAAGTTTCATTTTGATGGTTTGAGAATGAATACACATCTGGATTTTATGAGTACTATTTAGTTTTGCAGTAGTTAATAGCTTTGCGAAGATGACTATCTCTAACATAGTATGAAACATTTGGTTACAGAATTAAAAATTTGTACCAAATTTCACCAAAAATTGATGATCCAAGATTGTTAAAGCAGTCAATGCCTAAAAATTGCATCACTTATTAACATTAGATGCTGGATTTTATTTTTGAAGAATGAGACATTCATTCTTCACATTGTTGATTGCCAAAAGACGTATTTGAAACTAATACAGTCAAAAATTACAGGAGTTCAGGGAAATGTGCTGAAGACGAAAACTCAACAACCTGCAGCTGTATATCTTCAAAAGTATAAAGTGCGGTACATGGATTTCCTTTTCTTAAGCTTTGTGGGCAGAGGAGTTGGTACTGTCAACCAGGAAGAAATAATGTGTAGAAAAGGAACAAACTGATGAATATAACTGATAAATATGCCTCAGAAATCATATTTAATGCAGATGAGTCTAGATTGTATTTCAAGGTGACAGCTGATGGGTCTCTCCACTTACTACAGGGTTACTCTGCTATCTGGAAAAACTGAGAAAAGTCAGGGAATTGGAAAATTGACTAAAAAAGTCGGGGAAAAATCAGAGAATTTAAATGTTTTAGTCAAAATCTGGAAAAGTCGGAGAATTTCATACGACATTCCCCACCCCCACCCAAAAAAAGATTTTTCCGCCAACATTGGAAACGATTACTTTCTTGGTGAATTACGTATCGAGTGAGCTGCTGCCGTAAAGCCAACTTTTGCAGCTGCAGTGAGATTATCTTTTAGAAAGGCAAAGCAAGTTTCCAGCAACTTTGGTTTCCCAGTAACCTCGGGAATCAAAAGATTCACATGCGCATGTGCAACGAAAAAAATTACCTTCCTATTCTCATATAAAACAAAATCGTTGTAATCCTAGTATACGATACACATGGGATTTGGCAACATTATGATCAGCAGCAGTAAACTAGGATTTTACTGCAAAATCTTTTAAACCTTTTTTTTTTTTCTTTTTAATAAATGTCTTATTTGGTATTTTGCAGTAAAATTAAAAAGCAGTAATCATTTCGGCTAACCATTTAATATAATTATATTCACCAAAATATCATTGATTATTGTAATCCGGTGTTTAATCTTTAAGTAATTAACTTAATTTAATAGTCTTATTATTAAATTTATCCGTATCAATTAATATAGCTTCTTCCTTCTAAATTTATTTATTATTAGTTAATAATACTTTGAAATTCCAGGCAATTTTCTCTGCTATACTCCTGAAACTAATTCTAGCAATATGATGTCATACATACCATCACGAAATTCAATGTACAACATATTTTTTCTCATGTATGCTGCTAAATAAACATAAACCTGAATTTTTTTAAAAGTTCATTAATTGGATTTCTTTCTTTCGTTTAGCTGCAAAATGTCTGCCCAAAAAAGGGGGGGCTTTCTTTTAATCCAGATTGGGCAGATTTTAATTCAAATCTGCAGTGGAGAATACAGCACCTATTATACACTGCTGGCCATTGAAATTGCAACACAATGAAGGAATGCAAATGTAAAAAAGATATTTATTGCATGTAAACAGTATGGAATGAAGACAAAATGATTAAATTTAAGCATTTTGGAGGTTTACAGAGGTGTGAAATTAGTAGAAACAGCTGCTACCCCTGGCAGTTAAAACAGCTCTTACCCGTTTAGGCATGGAGTCAAGCTGGGCTTGGATGACACAAATGGGCAACTTACTCCATACTGCTTCAAGTCTGTGCCATACTTCATCAACTGTATTAGCTGGAGAAGTGTGGTAGGCCAGTCTCCCAGCAACCAATGACCAGATGTTTTCAATAGGTGACAGATCTAGAGACCATGCAGGCCAGGGCAACAATCGAATACCCTGTATCGAGGAAGGTCAGAACACGACGTGCAACATGTGATCCTGCATTATCTTGTTGGTACATGGTGTTTGGGGGCTTCAAAGATAGAGCACAACCTTTGGATATAAGATGTTAGAAATGTGCCCAATGGCTGCCCAAACCATCACACCAGGTGCAGGGCCCCTATGCCAATATCGAATGCAAGCAGGCGATGTGTGGCCTCCTCGGACACTTCAGACCTGTATATGGCCATCAGAATACTGCATACATAGCCAGGATTCATTTGAAAAGGTGACATTGGCCCACTCCTGTACTCAGCTTTTTCATTTGGTGCACCAGAGTTGCCATCTCCCTCTATGCTGCATTGTCAAGGGAGTCCAAAGGAATGGTCATCCTGCTGATAGTCCCTGCTGCTGCAAATGTCTACACCTTATGAGCTGATAATGTGCATGCTGCAAACATGCCCATTTCCTGTCTAATGGTCCGTGATTTGGTCCTATGGTTTTGATGTGTGCCTTCAGTCTCTCTGGCATAGCAGGGAGGCGCTGAGATCCTGCGCCTAGTTGAGCAATCCATAATTCTATTCGCATGAATGGTTGGAGTCGACCAGTGCGACCGGATATCACGCCGATACTCTACCTTCGATAGGCAACGATCTGCCTCTATCGGATTGACCTTATGGTAAACATTCTTCTTATTCGAGGCATAACATGATTTATGAGCAAACTCCAACCTTACAAAGCACTTTCCAAATGAGATATCCACTGCACAACTTTTTTTTTTTTAATGCAGTGCTTCAGATGTCGTATCTCCCTCCTGCGTCATCTAAATGCACTGAAGCACTAATCGTTTGCATATCCCAACTTCTTCCTTTTATACGATTTTGATGTTCATCAGATGATTTCCTCCTGGTGTTGCAATTTTAATGGCCAGCAGTGTAATTATAATAGTAATGCTTTGGGGATAAGTCGTATGTAATTGGCAAATGTTTGTTTTTAAGTGGTACCAAGATTAATTTACCTCTCAGCACAGCCTACGCACACTGCATGGAGAGACCGGAATTTTCTTGAAACACACCTGTAAGACTTAGAAAAGTCAGGGAATTTCATTTTCCTGTTTGAGTGGCAACCCTGTTACTACTTCCATCTCTATTTTTTCAGTTTTGAAGTGCAACAAAGGCCAGTGGATTTCACTGATGGATTGTTAAATGTTGTCAAGCTGATGACAAAAGTTAGATGAAGAGGCAATGCTGTACAAAGATCCAGAGGAGAAGAATTTGAAAGGAAAACTGAGTTTTACCAGTTTTGCTACATTCGACTGTGATTTACAATGTGTGAAAAATCTGTCAAAAACATATCTTCCTGTTGCTATCATCAATGATGACAACATTCATTACTGTAGCTGTTGGCATGAATTACTCATGATAAATTTTGTGTGCTTATTTGGATGAGGTCAGACCAGTGAGATTAGTCATAAAATAATTCATTTAAGTTTATATAAATTTTAATTTCACAAAAGACTAAATATTACTACAGTCAAATACCAAAAATCTGCCGATCTGAAATCCGCATTGCCTCTCAAAATATTAACATTCAGTTTATAGGTTCCGGAAACTGCAACATTGTGTACGAAATATCAAAGAAAAAATACTTACCGAATAATGATGTCATAATTACCAAATGAGTCATAATAGAAATACCAAATTATTGACATGAAAAAAGTTAAAATAAATAAGATAGAAGTGGTTTTCCCTCTAATCTGGATCGAGGTAAAAAAGCAGACGATTCACTCAACTCTTCATTCGAGTTTACGATGTATTTTCTGAGCATTGTTATTTTACGAGATTGTTTAGTGCTGCCTTTTTTTATCTGGATTTATTTGTGGATCAATTAAGAATATTTTAAATTTCCGCCCTTTTTAATACAATGACAGATAAGAAACGCACTCATGATTTTACTGCTTGCACTTGAAAAACTACACTGGCATGTGACGTAAAAACGCAAAAAGTGCACAATTCAGGTGCTACTCCTCGATTTATGCATAATGGTAGGAATTGTGGCACGATTGTGTATTATATACGAAAAATAAAAAAGCTGTGAAATTTTACACACAGCGAGTCTAGCAACGAAACTTTCATAGGCGAATCGTCCCCCTCGGTTCTTTTCTCTAACCCTTACTCCTCTAATCAATTTTAATGTAATTTTTCGTATAATCCCTTCTTGCATAATGTCTATTTAATTTTAATTAAATGTATCTAATATGCCTTATTTATTTTGCATTTTTAGTCCGAATATTATGCTTTATCTTTTTTGTCTTGAAATTTTCAAAATCCTAAAATCTACATACCCTCTGGTCCCAAGCTTTGCGGATTTCTTGACTTGTACTGTATTAAAATGATACATCATTTGTAGAGATTTTAAAGCATTTACAGGAAAAAAATTTGGGGAATACAATTTTAAGTTAAATTGTTTTACCTTCTTCAGCACATATGGCTGTTATTATCATGTAATATTTATATTAACTCTCAGCTTGTGTTTTATTATATTTGTAAAATTTTCTGTTCTATTTAGGTTGCCAAAAGTGACTATTTTAGAAGAGATGGACCTGATATTCATTCTGATGTCACTATTAGTGTGTGCCAAGCATTATTAGGTGGGTCACTTAGAGTTCGAGGGCTGCATGAGGAAATTATCCTTAAGGTTAATGTTATTTATTTACTTAAAACTTACTGCTCTTTAAGTTTTAGTTCTGTTTTGTCATTATTTTGACTATTTATATTATGTATTCCAGATACCTCCTTGTACTTCATCGCATACTCGCATGAGATTAGAAGGGAAAGGAATCAAACGTGTAACTAGCTATGGTTATGGAGACCACTATATATATATCAAAATAAAAGTACCATCGTATGTATTAACTTTTTTGTAAATTTAAAATAAGTGTAGTTAAAAATAACTTCAAATCTTTGTAAAATTTATTTTCTTTAGAAAGTGTACCATTATATTTTATATACAAGGTATTAATGTTATATTGAATAATTTGGAATTATTTTTTGAATATGTAGTTCCTTTATTTGAGGAATCTGATTTTTAAATCCATAATGAAACTTAAAGGTGTGGACAAATTTCTGGCTATGCAGTTTCCTCTTATAATTTTTTTCCACTTAAGAAGTCTAAAACTCATGATACTAAGAATACAGCATTTGATATTGTACTGGTTTACTATGTTTTAAAGCTAATTCGATTTTAAAGGGTAAAAGATATCAAGTTTTAGTTCATTGCTTGGTTTAATATTTGACTATCAGGCTGTCAATATATGCTACAGAGTAGCTGTAATTGAATGGAATTTTGTTTCAAAATGCAAAAATATTTATTTAAACGGTAATAGGCTTCAGTGTAAAATAATTATTTTATAACATTCATTTATTCATATGAAATATTTCTGTTTTTGGCTGTAAATATGATTTGAGGTATTACTAAAAAATAGTTAGATGAAGTGCTTTTCAGCAATGTTAACTAATTTGTGTTTGTTATATACTGGCAATAAAAGGATGAGACTTTGTTTTTAAAACAATTGATGTAAAAATGAGCAAAATGGGTCAAAACAACAGTGCATTAGGAGAAATTATCATCTGAATAACACATTTTCCCTTCTTACAATTAAATAGTAATTTATCATCATTAACTAGAATGTAATTGCTCTCTATATATATTATACCAGTGCACCTTCGAATTAGTCACTAGGCATATAGCAATTTCTGGCTTGAAGAGTGTATATTCATCCATTTCCCATGTTATCAAGACTTTGTGCCTTGGTGATTACTTTCTGCCTTAACCCTCTACCTAGTATCTCATCATTGAACTATAGTTAGTTTCCATGCCTAGCAGTGTCTTCCCCTTCTTTGCAAAGTCAATGGTCTATTGTATTGACCTGCATATTCTACAACTTCAAATCTTAATGAGGGATTCACTGTTGCCCATCATACACACCAAAACTGTTAATCTGGTGTTTAACTTAGCACTCGGAGCTACAGGCATTAACTTCTTGATGACACAAGCAGCATTTCTTAGCGAAAAAAAAAAAGAATGTTTCTATCTTTTCGAAATAAGAGTATTTAAACTTTAATGCGTCATAACTTATTCTAACAAAAGAGCAGCGCAGTAGCATAGACCCTAAGGCACAGAGAGAAGAAAGCTTCTGATCAAATGGGGCATTTTCGTTATTATGTGCGTTACATAATCGGCTAGCAAATTCTAGAAGGTATGGTCTAGGGCGAAGATCCTGAATTGTAGAAAGTTAATTAAAGGTTGCGTGTTCGCGAAAAGCAAAGCCATCGTATTTTTTTATATTTTACATATATATATAGCGAGAGAGAGAGAGAAAGAATATACGTCTACCTAAAGTGGTGGTCTGTCTAACAGGATGGCACAAATTTAGAGTCATCACAAGTCAAGCAGTCATTTCTGTCTTTTTGACAGACTTTATATTTATAATACTTGAAGAATCATCAACTTTTGTTCACCTTATTTTGTTTTTTCAATTTATTTGTTTTTCAGGTTTGATTTCGAAGTTTGCGTTTCATCTTGTTTTTAATTTGTGCCTTCCTGTTAGATAGTTCCCAATTTTAGTAGGTATATAGTCTGTATAGTTGATCTCATTGTTTATTAATTAATAAATTTTACAGCATTTTTTCCCTTTCTTTCTCTCTCTCTCTATATGTATATGTTAATTTTATTTATTATTACTCTAGGTGTTCTCTTTTGAGGAGTGTTTGAATAGGTTTCAACTACTCTGAGTGTCATTTTAGAAGATTTAAGCAGCTCAAAGACATTTTATTTTAATGCCTGCCTAATATCTGTTTTTGCAGCTCCCAAAACGTTATGTGGATTAGTGCTGCTGTGAATCATCATTTTCCTTCTTGTGCAGTGGCAACACTACCATTGCACAAGATGTAAGAGCTGTTATTTAACTTCCACGTGGCTTTGCAAATAGACAATTGTTGCCTTTATATATTTCCTGAAATGTAATTTTTTAGCATTTCCTTACTTTTTAATTTATGTTAACTGATGTTCAAAAAAGAAAAGTGGAAGTAAAGTATGGTTTTTTAAACAAAATTTTTTTAATTCAGTTTTAGTTTTGTTTATTAACACTAGAACAGTGGGAAAATCTTACCTACTGGAATGGCGCTAAGGGTTCATTTTAACCCTTTGATGAAAGTACTGAAATAACGATAGTAAAACAATTTTAAATGCCATACATTGGCACGAATATGTACTTTATATGTATTTCATAATTTATATTTAATATCACATGATACTTTATTGGCTTTTTAAAATACTGTACATGTATTGAGTACATGGCGATCAATTGGATCATACTACAATAACTCAAATAACTCATTAATTTGATATAAGAATTGATTTCAAATAAATGGTTTTATAAATTAAAACTAATGTTAACTAAAATAAAACACAATTTATATAATATTTTTTTATGTACTTACTCGGAGAATGATTCACTCTCTAAATCGAAAAATAAGAAATGTTCTCTGATGTTTCAGTTATATCATTATATGTGTAGCTGAATGGAATTTGTAAAGTATTTCATTTCAATTCTATTTAATGTTTAAGATATTAGAGATTACACATACATATTAAGA